CACACTCACCGGACCTGGGCTAGTCAATCATTATCTTAACAATAAATAAATACTTCAAATTAACAAAAGACTATGTAAAATAAAGGAATCTTTGGTTATGATATAAATGTATACTTTGTAACAGTAAATTTCAAAATACAAATTTTAAAAGCACAAAGCCTCCCAAAAAATTGTAGTACATTTAGGAATTAGAAGGAAATAAGAAATCTTTGTTTATATTGTAATAGATATTGCAATATAGAACATTAAATGCCAAAATAATTGCTGTGAAAGAGAACAGTGCACCTCCCCTAGTTATTTTTCCAGAAGAACTGAAATCATCATACTACAGTGATATATGTGCACCCATGTTTATAGCAGTGCAACTTGTCATAGCTAAATTGTGGAAACAACAAAAATACCCATCAACTGAGTAATGGATAGAAAAGATTGGTATGGAGTATTATTCAATGGAATACTATTCAGCTATTAAAAAAGTAAATCCAAGGCTTTTGTAGATAAATGAATGCAGCTACAGATTATGTTGGTAAGTGAAATAAATCAGACCCACATGTGCAAACATTGTATTATTACGCTAGCATGAGAACCTCAAAGAGTAATTAAAATGTAAAAGGTACAACAGATACTGTGAAAGGGAAAGAAATTATTCAGTGGAAAGGAAAAACTGGGATGAGGAAAAGGACAAATGAAAGAAGGGAAATAGATATATTTAGGTGTATATGCAGAATAGTTTGGATAAATATATTGTCTATTTTTGCTGGTCTTTTGTTTTTTGTTTTGTTTCATTTTTGCAGTACCAGGGATCAAACTCAGGACCCTGCACTTGCCAGGCAGGTGCTTATGCCACTGAGCTATATCCCTGGCCCACTGCTGGTCTTTTGAAAGGAGCAGTTAATGCTTAATTTTGTTTCTTTTTCCTCTGATTTTTTTTCTCTGATTTGAATTTCTTATTACTTCTTTGTTATTGTTTTGGTTTTTTCTTTAAATGAATTTTACATGGTTATACCTGATAATCTGAACAACTAATTTAAAGACAGTATCATGTAATACCGCAA